GTACAACCAGTATGTATGGGTCCACAATAGTCCAGACGATTTTAAACATTTGAGCTATTATGACAGTGGGAGCAAGCCACAGTTTAATATCCAGGGTTTTGAACTTGGTAATGAAAAAGCTTCCTATTTTGTTCAATTAAAGGCTCCTTCTTAGCTCATGAAGAAGCAGAAGTATTGCATACATGTGCAAAAATGCTTTGAATATCTGTGAATAGTAAACGGAGATGTAATTATTCAAATGCAAATTTATTCTACTAAATAATTTCATGCATAAAGTATTATTTCATGCAGTTTACTCCTGATTTTACATCCAAAATGAAGGAAGCTGAGTTCTCATTACATGTACATACAATACAGTGTGTAGCATAATGACTAAAAGAGGAATTTCAAACAAGTCCCTTATATAAATCGTATTTTAGCTGTCAGTTCAACAATTAAGGCACTCTGTGGAAGCCAATATCTCTTTGCTTCATCATTTCATTGGCAATGCAGGGATGGATTGTTAAAACGGTGGAGACAAGCCACACTTCAGAGAAGTCACTGGCTAAATCCCACAATTATTTTAATTGTGCTGTTTCTAGATGGAGGTCATCTAGCACTACTAATCTGTCTTTTCCTTCTAAACAGACTTTCTGTGACAAGAGAAAAGATGACGTGGTGGGAAAACATGGAGAGACTACAAGTTTGAAGATATCATCATCTGGATCACCATACAGTTCCATGAATCATGCAGGGCAATACACCACAACATTTTGTTTAGTGGCACTCTTGTCATCTATTTATAAATAATGCTTGCAAATTCTCTTGGCATGTCTTCAAAGGAACAGAAGACATCATAATTCTTATAGCCATCTTTCAACCTAAAGCAGTGAGAAACTTGTAGACATGCTGTAGACAAGGAAAATGCAAGACCAAACTATAAAGCAATCCACCATACCTATTAAGCACAGACTGTATTGTGCTTAACCCAGTTCTATCATCAAGCTCTACGTGAGCCTTTCACAATTCATTAAACTTAAAATATCACATATTAAATTCAAGTGCATAAGAGTCAATGTGACTTTGCTGGAGTTCATTCCTATGAAGAGTCCCCTTATGATCTTAATCTGCAATAATTATCTTTGCTCATTTCTCCTCATACTGACAGATATGGTTATTTTAGGCACAATATATTATCTGAACAGGACTTTTGCATTTTAGACATGATAAATGGAAATAGGGTTTGTCTATAAAACATAATGCATTAATAAATTAATCTTCAAGGTAACAAAAATCTCTCTCTATGCTACTTCTAAGATACACGGTGTAATTTAGGAATGTTAGGGTGCAATTCCAAATAGCTTAATAGCATCCAGACCGATATATAAGATGTCTATCATGCATTCTGCAAATGTTCTCAAATGGAAGACATAAGGAACAAATGCAACACTAAACCATTAGCATTACAACAATGACCAAGCACAAGCTTGAGCTTCTGCACACTTTGTACTTCTTCCCTTATGCATGGGAATTAGAAGGTTCCCATCATGGGTCAGCAACAAACTAGTTTGCTGTTCCATGACACCTGTCAATAATGTTTAATACAAATCAGATTTTGAGAAATGGGTTCAGTTCCTAGTGTGCAATTGACAGTTATGAGCAAAACAGAACTTTCCCCAGATATTGACTAGGAAATTAAACCAGGATCACAAGTTTTTAATTACAGGATATGAGAAAGTTAGATGCACACAAGCTCAAGACTTATGCCTGTCCGTTCTTCTAATGTTAAAACATGATTTGGTGCTGTGACTGAAAGCCCCCATATTTTCCTGGCTTGTTTTAGACTCACATTTGTCAGGAAGACTGGAATGTGAAATTCATGCTGTAACTTATTTAAGAGCCAAACACAGAAAATAACAGGGCTTTATAGTGCCCTCTCACGATACCCCTCATATCAGAATAGGAGAACCCTCTGATAGGTCAGTACAAGATCACAACAAGGTCACATACTTGTTTGAATATTCAGCGAAACCTATGGTGCACTCACAAAACAAATGCAGCGTATGGCATAAATATTCTATCCCCTCCAGAAAATGCATTCTAACTTTAAAAAGCTGTATTACTGAAATACTAAAAACATCACCTTTATGCTATCAAGGATCATCCCACACATGTTCCTTAAAATAATTATACTCACTCCCAATGCTGTTATTTTCTACCCTTCCCTTCCCTTCAACTTCCACATCATGAATTCATATATATATACATTTTCCACCTCCAGGGACAAACTTCTCTTTCCAGCCTGAGAAAAGAAAAACTTAGGAATACCCAGAGCAGCGGTTACCAAATTTTTTTGGTGTGAAGACATTTCCCCCCCATGGAATTCTAACGCTATCCCTGATTTTTACTAAGCATTGTGAACCCACAATGTTCTTCCTTCTTTCAACTGCTCCTATTGCCTGGGTGCTCTGCATAATGTAACAAGTCTGCAAATAAAGAGAAAACTTTCTAAATATAACGAATGAATAAAGTGACTATATGGTAATATCCCAAATGAATTCTTTCAATTATTCCCGACTACACAAGAGTGTCCTAGGGCCACATGATGCGATGCATCTCCTTGTTCGCTGCTTGGGCACCAACTGACAATCGAATAATTGGTCTTGTGTGGTTTCATTTTGAAATTTGTTTTAAATTTTATTTTTCAGATTTTTTGTGGAAACACTATGAGGCTTTTGTGGAACCCTAGGGTTCCGTGCAACACAGTTTGGGAACCGCTGACCCAGAGGGTCACAGCTTTAGAGAAGCTTGCAATCTGCCTTCCATCTTATCAAGGCAGGGAGCAGGTATTTTAACCTACAATTAAGACATCAGTAAAACAATTTGAGGATTACAACACAGAAGCCCAGGGTCACTGGGTAAGCTTCACAGCTGAGCATGGCAGTGCAGATGGTACTATATTTGTGCATCTGAGGATGGCAGCTCTAAATTCCAGCCCTATTTGGTTTTGCTGAGGATTTTGATGCCACTGAAGGCGGTTCCAGAAGTAATTACCCTCTCAATGCTGTGCACATTATGATTGTTTATCTTTTGTTTTATACCATTACGCTGTCCAAGCATAAGATGACCTGGGAGCAAAGAGAGAAAGATTGAATTCAAGTGTTTGAAATAATATGTTTTCCCTCAGAGTCAAGAGTTCTGCAATATTTACTCCAAAGTCAGTATGCCTAAGACTGCTAAATTAATCTGCTTAGGGTGCAATTCTATAGCCAGGCTACACTGCCCAGCCACAGGAAATCAGGAGTCCCAACTCTGACCTCAGAAATACACTGGGGTTGCTGCCAGAGCACCAAATTCAGAGCACCATCCTCAGCTCTTCTAACTGGCCCAGTTCCTTCTGCACTGGCTGCAAAACCAAAGTTAAAAGGCCAACTTCAGAGCTGTTCCTAGAGTCCAGGGGGCAGACAGCAAAGTAGTGAAGCTTTACCAGGATGAGATATATCCGAGCAGAACCTCAGCCTGTCCTCCTCATAAGCATAAAACTTTCGCAGGGCAGAAAATGCCCGGGGTGATCTTCACCTTCACACTTGTCATGCCCGGGACAGGATGCCTGCAATCCTCTGAGTTTGGGGGGGGGGGTATTGCAGGCATCCCTGTTGGATTGTTCCCTTAACCAACAAAGAAATCAGTATCAGTGTGATATTTCAGAAGGAACAGCAATACTACAGTGGAGGCACTGGCCTGGGGTGGGGAATTTCTGCTCAGCCTTCACATTCCTGTGTCTACTTCAGAGGAGCCCTGTGGCTAACAACTCTCTAAACTCCTTACTCAAAATAGCTTTCTGTGTTACAGAGAAAGGAAACCACATAGAAAAGCATTCAGAGTGAAAATATAACCAATTATTACTCAGCCATTGCAGGTGGGAGGTTTGAAAGGGGAGAAAGAGCAGAACAGTAGAAAGTCCGTATAAGGACACATAAAGTGTTGGCAAAGACACAGCACTGCACACTGTGATTAATTACTTTGGACTCATAAAGAAGTATGTAAGCAAAAGAAGTGAAAAACCTTTTCCATAGAAGATATTACGGTGGTAATATCCAGTATCACTTCTCCAGAAAATAGAAAATGCACACACATCTCAAGGTTTAAGCTGCAAGCATACTTAAGTCAGAAATAAGCATGGATGAACTTGTTAAAATTTATTCCCTGGTAAGTTCGCACATAATTGGTCACAACATCTGCATTAAGGCTTAACTGAACGTTTAACCAAAGCAGCTTCTAAGCTAGGCACCAGTTCTAAGTAAACACTCAGCCCCTTTATTTTCTTTGTTCAAAAGTACATGTTTAATGGAACTTGCACATAAATACAGGCAGGGCTTCAAGTTCCACCAAAGCTCACAAACGCAATTACAAGTTAAGTCAGACAAAGCCTGACTTTAACTGTTCTACAGGAAAAGATAGGACTGCCATTTCCTGTCCCTTCTCTCGTGCATTGACAAATACAATTTTCGATTCTCCTCCAGAGTCACCATGAACTCCACCACAAAGTCCGCACCGGAGTGTTTGCTCTTTCTCTCCTTCTTCCTCCCGCGCATAATCATGCAGCACCGTTAAAGGTTAACACAGCCTTGAGCGCCGCTATGGTACTTCCGTTGTGTAAGTCACAACAGGCAGGCCTACTCCCGTGCAAGGATTGAGATGGGTTTTATTAACTTCTTCCAAGAAGGACGGACCTAGCCACGCCCACCCGCCGCGCCGCCAGATCCCGCTCTGCGCCCGTCGGAGCAGGCACGCCTTGAACTTGCGGCTTCTGCCCGGGCCCTCAGCACGCCTTCCAACCTGCCCCGCAAGGGACCGGGGTCTCCTCCTCGCCTGCCCAGACCCCTCCCCGCCCTCTTTCCAGCACGCACGGTCCACGAAATCGGGCGAGACCGAAACAAAAGGCGGCGCGGAGGGAAACCCGCGCCGGCTAGCCTCGCAGCCGTTCGCCTTGCGGCGCGGACTCGCCCCTCGCCCCTTACCTGCGCCATGGCAGAGGCTCTGCGAATGCCCCCGGCCGGGGCTCGGAGAAGAAGTTGCTGGCGGGGCGGGAGCCCACTCTCGCTCCGGTTCGCTCTCTTAGCGGCGCCTTGTCCCTGGCGCGGTTACGGCGCAGGGGAGCCCCGTCTTGGCCTCGGCGGGGTGGCGGAGCCCCGTTCCCCCGCTCTCGCCTCTGGCCGACGGCTGCTATTTCCACCGTATGGTGGCGGCGACCGGGCCCCAACAGCGCCTTGTTCCCTGTGCGCCTCCGGAAACGCATTCCTCCCTGCTGCCGTCAGGCTGGGGCGGAGCGTGCAGGGTGCGGAGCTGGGCCTGAAGGCTTGTCTAGCCTCTGAGTAAAGAGGGGCTTCCCCTCCCTGCCTCCGAGCTGCTCCGCCTCTTTCTCTTGTGCTCCAAGTTGGGTAATCGGGGCCTGCCAAGCCCGTTGCCTGCGCGATGAGTTGCGGAGGAGCAGCCCAGCCTTGCCCACGTCGGCTGGCCAAAATTTCCACAGTTCACAGCAAAACTCTATGTATTTTTCTTCGGAAGTAAGACATGTGCTTAAGTGGAGTTTACTCCCAAGTATCGAATCGTGTACTGAAGCTCGCTTCCCTCCCAGCTTGCCCGAATTAAGGCTGCAGTCATGTAAATCTGTGTAATCTGAGATTAAGGATCGTGTAGCTGGAGTCACTTTGAGAGTAGCGTTAGGTCCTTAAGTAAGAGCAGAACGACTGTAACCGCCTTCCAGAAAAGCCCCACCTCGGAAGAAGTTCCTGTGCTCAAAGAGGCGAAATTTTCCCGGGAATTGCTTTCTTTTTTTCCTCCTTGTAAACTGGTGCTGTCCTGTCCAGCAGCACGCAGAAAGGCAATCTGCACATGTTCAGAACACTAGCAATTAGCCTCATGCGAGCCCTGTTATAAACCATGCTATTTCATTGTGCCATAGAGAAAAACAAACTTTCCTTGGAAAAATGCTCTAAAAAGAACACACACAGCCCATGCAGATAACCAAACTTCCTCTCGGTGACTTATCTTGCTTTAGGATAGCTTAGTCATGTGTCAGATCCTGCTAAATGGAACTTACATCGTATTGTCTACTGTCGTATTGTTTACTGTAGCAGGCAGTGACTAGGTTCACACAACATGTTAAGCCACTGGGGGCTTAATGTGTCATCTGAAACCCCCAGCTTCCTGGAAGGAGGTGTATAAGCCATTCCAAGTAGCCATGGCTTGTTGGGTGTATCAAAGCTTTGGTAGCTTAACACATTGTCTGCATCCAGATAACATGTTAAGGTGAAGCCAAAAGGCTACATAGCAGCAGAAAGGAGTTGCCACCTGGTCTAAGGTGCTCTAGCTGAAAACAATTAGCATTTTGTTTATTTGTTCATTTAAAACTTTTCTATACCATCCCATCACAGACATCTCCGGACAGTTTACAACAGATTAATAAAATAGAAATAGAGTAACAGTTGCACAGTATCCAATGTTAAAATATAAAACCACTAAATAAAACAGGTTAACAATGAAAATACTGGGAGAATAAAAAGGGTTTTGCCTGAAAGGAAAGAAGCATTAGCCCCAGGTGAACCTCTCTGAGGAGTGTGTTCCACAATCGGGGCACCACCACAGAGAAGGCCCTCCGGGTAGCCACCCTCTTGAGCTCTTTCAAGGAGGGCTCCTGGAGGAGGGCCTCTGACTCACACCTCAAGGGGTGGGACGGCACATAGGGGAGAAGGTGCTCCTTCAGGTATCCAGGACTCAAGCCATTTAGGGCTTTATAGGTCATTGCTAGCTAGTTTGGACAGTCACCTGCTTCCCCCAGCATGGGCAAGAGCGTGGGATACACCTGTGTCCACCATGTGCTGCTTGCTCAGACCCCTTTGGGGGCCTGAGAGATGGTGTGCTGGTGATGGATGGTCGAGGAACTAACCATTTGGACCTACTTCCTGGGTCCCACCTGTCACCACTCCCCCAAGAGAAAGGCAAGCCTAATGGCTTAGCACTGCCCCCCTGCATTTCCCTTTCCCTGCCTGCTTGAGGAGGGATGGGGGGAAGCCCTCCTTTCTTCCCATCACCTGGAGGAACTAGTGCTCAGCTGCGGGGGGGGGGGGGGGGCTCCTGTGTCAGACTCCAGGCCAGCCCAGTAAGGCTTGGAAGGGGCACATGCCTCTGTCCAAAAGCTGGGGAGAAACAGCCTTGTCCAGCTGTGATTGTAGCTGTGGGCAAGGGTGGGACATTTAGCCAGGCCTTCTGAAAAGCCCTCCCTGAAAGCACCCTCTCCCTCCCATGCCTGTGACCACTGGGCTTGCAGGCAGTGGGGAGGAGCTGAATGTTTGGCTGGGCCTCTTTGGGAGGGGCCAGTTGTGATGCCTGCAGGCAGTGCTGCAAGCGGGGGGGGGGGGGGCTGAGGCAGAGGGGTGCTTCCCCATGCAAGGCCATGTGCAGTGGCTGCACTGAGACGCACCTGTGAGCAGCTTGCTAAGTGGAGGGGATGCTCTCCGTGGTGATGCCCTTGCCCTGAGCTTCAACAATGGTGGTTTGTGCCTCCACCAGGGTTCCCCACCCCATGCTTCTGCTGATCCCAGGAGCAGTATGTGGCTGGGAAGCAGATGACAGACCCCCAAATGACCCACATTTGGCAGTGGCCACCCCTGCTTCCCTCAGTACTACTGTGGTCATTGGTTGAGCACAGCGAGAGCCCCTAAGTAGCTCAGCCCAGGGCAGCTGGGTTCACACAACATGCTAAGCCACCAGGGTTATGGGTGCCTTAGTGTATCATCTGAACCCTCCTGCTTCGCAAGTGATGGATTATAAACTGCTCCAAATAGACATGGCTTGTTGTTACTATCCCCCCACCTCAGCTTGGTCTGCTGATCCCCCCCCTCCCAGTTCACTCTTACATCAGACAAGAGTGGGGGACAGGTCAGCTGCAGGGATGCTCTAACTGTTCCACAGAGACTGAAATGTGATGTAACACACTGTGAACTGACAGGCATGTAAGAAAGAACCTTCCCCTTAATTCAGAAGACAAATTCCCACAACAAAGATATTTAAGGGAAAAAAAAAACCCTAAAGCAATGGCACACATTTAAACAAAGCATGGGTTTGTGGGAGGGGGGCGCTTCCTGGCGCCTGCCCGCTACTGCTGCACTATGGATCCTCTGCCTGATTTAGCATAATAGTTGGCTGTTGGGGAAAGAATTACCCAGATCTGAAACACAACTGCTCACCCCACTTGTTTGGAGCAGCCCATGATTTTGTTTAACCCACAGGTTGCTGTGTTTGCAAACTGAGTCATTTGCACTAAAGAAAGGGGAACACTTCACCACAAGCTAAAGAGAGAATTGTTCACACCTAAATTGTTCCACCAGCAGCAACACTTTAACATCAACAAGCTAACAGGTTCCTTTTTGGTTTTAGTAACATACAAAGTAATCACAGGAATAATTCCATGCACAATGCTTGTGAAAATATAACCCTTTTCCTGCTTTCTTCTCCACTTAAAAAAATGCTTGTCCTCCTGTAGTAGCTTCTAATTTATAGTCACTACGTTTCTGTAAGCAAAGGAAAATGATATGACTTCAGAGAACACAAGGGCAGACTGAATAGGAGCTGGCTGACGTGTAGATGGGCTTCCACAGAAAGGAGCACTGCTTAATTGCTATCATAAATTATTCAAAATTACATGCACAACATCCTGTAAAATGGCCTTAAAAGCTTTCAGGAATAACACCTTAAAATTTTGCCTTCATTCATGGATCTTTAGAAATGCATGTTAATCACTGTAACCATATACAAAAATAAATTTTAGTAAGGTTGTGATCCAAGCTGGTTTAGCAGTTGAAGAAATCATAGCAAACAGTTATAGAATGAGCTGTTTAATGTTTAAACCCAGGTCTATCATTACCTAATAACCTGTTAGACCTTCCAGGAGTGTCTCTGCGCTTTTGCTGTTCTCTTTGGTACAAACCGCCATGGGCAAACAAGCAATAAAACTGACCGGAGCAACAATAAGTCTGTTATCAAAAGTCTAGCCACCTGCCCACAACAGTCATATATGAGAAATGCCAGGTGCAAAGTCCATTGCACTACCTCAGTTGGCATGCAGTGGTTGATGCTGGCCCCAGCCATCCGGTGCAAAGGAACCATCTTACAAAACAGCATTTGTTCTCTGAAGGAGATGGTGTACTGCATGGGTCCTCAAACTACGGCCCACGGGACGGATCCGCCCGCCATGGCCATCCATCCGGCCCGCGCCACCGTTCGCTGCCCCCATGCGTGCTTGCTGCGCAGGCAAGGAGGTGGTGGCTCTCTCGCTCGGAGATGTTTTTGGACTTGCTGGGAGATCTCCAAGCGAGTGAGCCACTGCCTCGCAAGCGCCCCATGCCACCTCGCAATGTCTGACGGCACCTCACCGGCCTGCGCCCCCAGGCACCCCACCTCACCGGCCTGCGACAGTCACCACAGCCTTTCAACCGGCCCCCTATTCAAAAATTTTGAGGACCTCTGGTGTAGTGCAACAGATACTATAAAAGCCTTCATGCAATAAAAAGGCAGTGCATGTTTAAAAGGCCTGTGGGACAGTTCTCCTGGCCCCTCTGGTGATGCGTGGCTACTACTAGCCCCTTCTGACCATATAGTAGCAGAAATATATTGTCTGAGTTGACAAAGCGTCCATGGCATGGGGAAATAGCACAAGGTTCTAAAACTCTAAGACAAAGAGGGAGTACCATGTAATCCCACGTGCTTGTTGCAGAGTTGCTGTGCAAGGAAAGGGGACTCTCCTTCAATAATTATAATTGCTAGACTGGCAAGTTTTTATTTTCAAGACCAAATGGGCTTGCCATCTTTCAGGATTCATGATTTGTGGACATTTAAGGGTTATCTATCTACTTCTTTACTAGGCCAGCAGGAAAAGCACTGTGGCACTGCGCTAGCTGTGTTTGTGCTTCTGTCTTTGTAAACTTTTCTTATTTAAATTAGTTTCATTAGCTTAGTACTGACTGTGTATAGGTTTTCAATATGCCACTGTCCTTTGGTCTCTTCACTGATAAAACTTTGATAACTATTGGGTCTTCTCTCGTATATGTCTGGTCATGTTTCTTTATTTGGTAAAAATATACTACAAACAGGACTAGAATCTGGCCATTGGTTTCACATAGGAGGGAAAGATTTACAGCCTCAGCGCTTGTCTAGAGAAAGATTTTAGTAACTGCTCACATTTATATTTTGAGACTGGGAACAACCATTGCTTCTTTGTTGCGCCAGTGCTCCATGCAAGCTACAGCTTATTTTGCAT